CTTGCTTTGATGTAGATAATCTGATTGTTAAGTATGGTTGCCCAAAATCTTGCCTTGGTATTAGGTATGCAAGTAGAAGATCCTTGAATAGAACTTGGAATACTGATATGGGAAAACCATGCTGGGATAGGGCCTTTGGGTGTAGGACCTAAATGTGCGTTGTATTCATGCCAAGTGAGTCTGCGATTTGACTGATAGACTAATAGGTCACTGAATACCTATTAAAATTTCAACATGTACTTTACAATATTATCTTTATACAAAAAGTTATTATGCTTGAATTGATAAAAAAAAACCATTCATTAGTAACAAAAATAAAATAATTTGTTTTAAATGAATAAAATAACATTTGTAATAGAATTCAAAATATAATTACATTATTTGAAATAATAAATATTATTTTAAAATATATGAAAGTAATGGCCATAATTATATATAGCAATTATTTAAAGAAAATAAAATATCAATTGCTTAGTAAAAAAAAAACTCTTTCCCACACACAAATTTTTTCTTAAAAATTTTCTTTTATAGTAATTTTTCTCCAAAATTAAAGAAACAAATATTTTTTTCATCTTTTAATACCCAAAAGTCCTTCACACTTCTTCTTTCTTCACTATAAGAGCCTCAAGGAAATTAAAGAAGTATACTGATACATTGGGATGGGTTCTCTGACTAGAGAAAAGCAAGTTTGGAGACCTTGCTTTTTCTTTGGATTGCATGAGAAAAGATTCATGACAATTACTTCTTTATAAATCTTCCTTGGGGTTCTTCCTATTTCTTTTCTTAATAATACACAAATCTTTTTAAATAACTACACTTTCTGCTTGAAGGACTTCTTTTTATCTTAAAAAACCAAACTTTACATTAAAATTGTTTATATTGTTGACTTAAAGCACTAACAATATATTTAATATTTACTTCTCACTATCACCCATCATATTTTGCTGTGCCACCAAAAATTCAAAAATCTCACTTAAAAAATTTTTCAACAAAAAACCACAATCAGTTTACTTCTATCAATTGATTAACATTCCAAACTCAACTAATCAAACATTATTAATTTTCTAAACAAATCTGTATAACCAAAACACTACACCCTGATTGATATAAACAAAACCTTTTATGGTGACAACAACCAAAACAAAATTACATCACCAACAAACAAATCAATCACAAATCATATCAATACAACAACAATATCATCACTATGACCAACCATTTATCAAAAAAATATATCATCAACACTATTGTACACTTTGAACAGTAGCCTGGCTATTTCCGGAAGTGCAATAGTACTTTAATTAAATGGAACTACCAATGTGATGCACTTCATCCAAAGCATTTATAGCTTCACAATTAGTGTTGCTATACTTATTTTTTTGTTTAGTATTTTCTTTTTTTTTCATTTTTCAACTTCTTATAGTCTTACACATAAATCTGAGTAGATATTCATAGCTGCTCGGCACTATTTAGGATGTACATCAGTTTTAATATTTATTTTTCATGGTGCTTAGATAGTTTCTGTAGGCAAGCTAGCATTAGACTTACTAATTAATTGGTCATGTGAAAGATGTTGTCACTTTTACAATGTAAAATTATTTTATAATTTTTACAATAATAAAGAGATAATGTTTACCTACTTAAAAAAAAAAAACATCAATTGCTTAGTTTCAATATTTAAATTTGATAAAAGATGAATAATAATATAATAATGTTTATTGCAAATAGTTTAGATCCATTAATACAAATTAATGAACAACAAAAAACAATTAATTATATATGTGATAAAATATAATTTGATCATTTTTCAAAAATCATATTACTATTAAAAACATAATAAATTAATTGAAAATTATATTACTATATATGGTAAAGATCAACAATATGACTACATGTATATAATTAATTATATACAGTAAATAGTCTTAATAAAAATTTTTTGGGGGTTTTTTCCAGTAGGTAAACATCATCTCTTTATTTAATTATATATTGTAGGTATACATTGTGAAAGAAACAACATCTCTTGGATGTGTATTGCATACAACAAGTTAAATACTAGCTTGCTTACTTGATCACTATCTAACCAATATTGTAAAAAGAATTTCAAAAGCAATATTAAAATGTTAAATAGTGGAGTAGCGGCTATGCCTACCTACTCAACAAAATTTGTGAAATCTTTTGATTTTTTAATATAAAATAAATGAAAAAAAAAATAACAACAGTAACTAAAACTAAAACTAAATCGAATAGACTATAAAATCCATAAGTAGAAATCCAATTATTTCCCCAAAAAAGTTCCCAGACAGGCACATAGTCCCATCTCTCCAGCTCTTTGGTTACTATAGATAAAAGAGTACATATGATATTGTTTGTTGTTATAGTTGTTGTTGTTGTTATTGTTGTTGTGCTGAAAAACCGGTTTGAACAAGTTCAATTTTTTCTTTGTTATTTTGACAAAATCTGATTAGATTATTGGAAAGTGATGATCATCTGGAGGGGTAAACTGATTTCAGTTTTTTGGACAAAAAGTTTTGGAAATTTTGAAATGGTGCAGTAATTGTTGCCATGATAAGGTTGTATGTAAAGATTGTGTTAAAACAAACAGTAGACCCAATAACTCTGTTTTAATGTGTTTTTTGGAAAGTATTTGATTTAGCATGTATAATGGTATTGATGTAGATGGTTTTTATGTTATGATAGATGAAAGGAGGAGTGCAAGAGAATAAAAGAAAAGAGAACTGCCACAGGCCTTTTCTTATACAACCGAAGAATAAACAAGACTCCCAAACTTGAGTAGACTTTGACCAGAGGTTCCATTCCACTGCATCAGTTGTTTTGAAGGTTCTTGAGTTCTTGAGCAGGGGCTCACTTGCAATAAAGAGTGTAAAATATTTTTTCTTGACAAAAATTACCATAAAAGAAAAATTTTTAGCAAAGTAAACACGATCAGGAGAAAGTTTTTTTAGTCTTAATAACAATTTATTATCATATTTAGAAAACATTAATAATTAAAATAGCTATTTATTTCAAGATGACAATTGTTCAATTCATTAGACAAAAAATATAAAAAAATGAATTAAGGTTTCATGCCTTTCATGACTAGCACAAAGCTTCAATCTTAATTCCATTAAACATTTTTAAAATAAATTAAAATATTGTATTCACAAATTTAATTCTTTACCAACAAATAAGACAGAATTATTTAAATTTTTACATAAAGAGTGGTTAAAAATAGATATTTCAATTTATTAAAATCTTGTGATAAGTATATCTTATTGTGTTTAAACTATACATGTTGCTGAAATTCGTAGATCCTTGACGCAATTAACGCAATTGATGCAATTATTTGACGCAATTAATTGAGTTACTATTAAAATATATAAATAATTGAGTCACAACGTAATTATTTTTGAGGATTTTGGGAATTGAGTCAACAGCAAAATAATTTAAACCACATGTATAGTTTAAACTATTAAAAATTTTAAAGATAATTTTACAAAATATTAAATATATAAATAAATTTTATAAACTTATTTCTTAAAAAAAAATACAATATAAAAAATTTTTTTATTATAATTTTTTTAAATTTTACAAGAAAAATTTTAAATTAACTATTGATTTTTGCTAAATTTGATCATCAATCCATAATTGGTATCATGGAAAGTGTATCCTCTTTTAAAATAATACAGTTCAAATACTTACAAGTACACATTATGTTTTTCCTGTTCTTTGTATTTTTCGAAAAGCAAAATAAACTCTCTGAAATACTGTTCAAAAAGAACCATTGAGCATTTTTCATACGTATCAATAGGTAAGTTCGAGCAATATTTTAAAAAAAATACCTTAACTCCATCCAGACTTGTTAGACTCTCAGCAAAAACTCTACAGATGCATTTCCAGTTTGGGATTTTTGGGAATTGAGATTGTGTGAGTGAATGATATTGGCGAGACATTCGATTTGACCAAGGTAAGTAATTTCTCTTTATTAATTTACTCTAGTCACCACTATCTGCTTCCTTTTTATTTTAAAGAATAAATGTTAACATTTTATACTTTTTACAAGAAAAGTTTAAGAACAATTTGGAAACATAATGAAAGATAAGGGAATTTCTACTACTTTCTGATGCTATTATCTAATCTAACACTAATTACATCATTATTATTTCATTACAAGCGCTGGTTTCAGATCTATTTTTACCTTTCTTTTCTTCTCACGATTTCGGGTCGATAGTCGGTCACATGATCCTAATAGCATTGCTATTGTTTTTATTCTCTCTCTTACAAGATATAGCCAATTCTAAAAGGTTTCTAATAATTTGGTGGGATGGAGTTCGAGTTCCTTTTGTGTAATAAACAAGAAAAGCTAAAATCTATAAATCAGGTATCTGAATAAGCAACAAAAAAAAAGCCTTCTTACCATCTTTTATGTTATTTCTATCTAATAGGCTGGAATAATAAGAATTATTGCAAGCTATACATATCTTAAAGAATTGTATTTTGTACTTACTCACTTTGAGATTTTGCATGATTCAATTTTCGATCTTATCATCAGTTTCTTCATGGATTGTCTAAGAATACAAAAGAATTGACAGATGCAGAATACAAGGCATAATTGTGTAGTTTAAAAAACAAAGTAATACATCATTACCATAGGGGATTTTGTACTATCATCAAGGTAATTACAGTCTTCATCACTTTTAGAGTCATCCTCATCTGGCTGGTCCTGTTCATATTACAAAGAGTAATCGATTAAAATTTTGTTAGTGGTCAAACTTGAAAACATAACCCATAATAATAAAACCCAATAATAGTTATCACCTTATAACTTCTAATATGTTTTTCTGTTTTTTCACTATTATTATTGAGAAATCTCTTTGCGATGCTAGTGGTGGTTGACTTGGAGTATTGTTTAATTTATTTTGTCGCTACTGTGGAAATGATTATATATTGGGTTGCCTATGTACAAAAAATAAATCAAGAGTGAATGTTTTGATCTAGTATGTTGAATTGTAGGAGAATGAGTGAAGTACCTGTAACTTCTGAACCTTCGTCTTTGCCTTTTCATCAATAAACTTGTTCCTCATTCTAATATTTTAGTTTTCATTCTGAATCTTCCAAAATTTCTTTATTACTAATGACTGTTTACTATTTTACTAGTGATGATAAAACAAAAGTTTTAAGTTAATGTACCTAATAATAGACTTCATTGGTAATTTGTCTATCCTATTATGAACAAGCAAGCACCCAGATAGTATAATTCAATTATTGAATATTTATCTTTCGCGAGTATCATGGATTCCAAAGTCCATTAAGCATAGCTCACCAATAGACATGACAGTTGTTTCTACTATGAACACGATGGTTGCAGAGTAGTTGGTGTACTCAATGGTACAAAGAGTCTCAAGGTGGTTTATGAAGCAACTAACCAACAGACATGACAGTCGTTTTCACTACAAACACAATGGTTGCAAGATAGTTGGTGTACTCAGGTTTCTGATCCAATAAAATAATATAATTAATTTTCCTTGTATTTATTTTCCATTTTGATACTTGTTGGCCAAATTCTGATACATCAGTGTAAAATCTGCTGATAGTAGTTAGTTTATTATTATACCAAGTATGTTCAACTTTTGACTCTTCTAAGTTGCCAGCCGAAAGTCAAAAATCTAAAAATTTCTTGAGCAAAGGCATATCTGTGCTCTTTCAAAAGGCTACATAATCACAAATGATAAGTTATATTATAAAGCATTATCATAAGAAAATGGATATATAGTTTGCCTTACTAGAATACTTCAAAGCAACAATGTACTCAGGAAGCAAGTGTATAATATCAAGCCAAGAAAATGAATGTGAAAGTATGTTTTTTTACAAAAAAATTATTTTTATTATTTATATATTATCTAAATTTATATATGATTGATTAATCAGAAATTAATCAATCTACATTAGCTAGTAATAACTCTATCATAAAAGATTGTTGGAAATACAATTGTAGAATAAGTTGTTTACCTTTTCAAAATACTTACATTATAGTCTTTTACGAGACTTCAGAACTTTTCCTTGCATTGGTATCCAGTGTAAGTGATATTAAATTGCCTATTGATCTTATTTGCAATGCTATTTCAAAAATCCTACTCATGATATCGTAATATTTGATATTTCTAGTTTTTTTCACGTCGACTAATAAGCGCAAGTGTTCCTTGATTTATATGATCCTTGGATCACCCTTCGGGTCTGCAACTCTGCTATGACTAAACTGCAATTCAACCATGATGTACATAGACTATATAGGAAAATTTCTACTAAGATAAAACCATGATAACATTATGAATTAACTATTAATGAAATATAACATATCTTGTAATTGTATATTCTTATTGCTGAAGATCCCATACACCTGAATAGATTTCATGTATCAAAAATAGATCATATATCCACAAATAAATTCTTTAGAATCAACTCTAAACTATAGCAAAGCAGGCCATTAGGTGATTCTTTGAATAATGACCCCTCAGGTCTACAACCCAATATGAATCTCTTCTATTTTTATTGTATACATTATTTGCAAAATATGATGATTATAATACTCTTGAAGAAATGGTCCAAGAATCCAATTTTACTAAAATTGAATAATATTATTATAGAATATATAGTTGATAAAATCTAATAAGTCTAAAATTTCTAACTATGATATAATCACATATAACTTTATAAATACTATAAATAGATTATATAAGATAAATAGTTAGCTTAAATGAAAGATGTGAAACCAATTATATTGATATTGAATGGGATGAACTTCTAGAAATAGGTATTTTTCATTGAATGAGACTTTTACCAAATGGATGAATCAAATTTGGCCTCACTTACAATATTTCAGAAAGAATAATCTTATATCTTATAATAGAAAATACTTTGAAGCCAAAAAAATTAATAATATATTGATTCACAATTAATAAATATTATAAAAGCTATGTACCTGAAATTGGACTTGCTATCTGTTTCTCTTGTAATAAACTTATATATAATGGAAAATGAACTAAAAATATAGATAATTATAACCATATAGGAAAAGAGAAGCATTGGATTATTTATTGTACTGGAAATTCCTTTTGTAATGTAAATTATAAATAATATTTAATAAAAATCAAGCAAAAGTCTATTTCAGGATATAATTATAATAATGAGTTTGTATTACATTAATTAAGAAAAATTGGTAAAAAGATCATAACATGCACAATTATATAACATAAATTCATTGAATATATGTATAAACCGGAAGAGCTTTGCTTTTTAAGAAAGATTTTTTTTAAAAATATCCAACATTAAGCTAACTTCCCAACACCAAATGATTCTTCATTTCTGGAACCAGGAAGTATGTTCACTCAAGAAACTTCAAAAGCTTACTAATATTCCTCGCTCTACAATTAAGTACAACATCCAAAAAATTAAAAAAACTGGGAATGTTATATACCTGCAGGGCAACGGTCATTCAAAAAAGATTGGATTAGCAAAAGCACATATGCTTGGATGATATATCAACAAGGATAATTCCATACCTTTGCAAACCTTGATCATAAAATTATCCAGAGATGAAGAGTCTGTATTGTACTTGACAGCTGGGAGAAAATTAAAAGAGTTTGGTTATAAGAACGCTCTTCCAGTAGGCACTCCAATGCTTATAGACCTTCATAAAAAAAAGTGAGTTAAATGGACAAAAAAACATCTCAATAATAGCTGGAAACAAATCTTGTTCTCTGATGAAACTGCTTTTTCTTTGTTTAGGAACACGATAAAATGATGGTATAAAGATTATAAACCGATTAGACCACTTTCTAAAAATTGACAAAAGATCTTTGCCTGGATAGATTTTATATCAAAGGCAAGACATCATTATTCTGCTTTACTAATATCATGAATGGTGAATTTTATGTTAAGATCTTGCGTCAATACCATCCAGAGATTAAAAGAATGCTTGGTAGGCAATGGAGATTTCAATAAGACAATGATCCAAAGTATACAAGCCAAATTGCTCAAGAATTTATTAATGAGAGTTTTCTTGAGCTTATCGATTGGCCAGTCAATAGCCCAGACATTAATCCTATAAAAAATTTATGGGGTATTGTTAAACATAGTGTGAAGAAGCAGTTACCATCAAACCTCAATGAATTAGAGCGATGTATGATCGAGGAATGGCAAAAAATTCCAGTTATTACTTTAGTCAATCTTATTGCATCAATGAAAAGCCATTGTCAAATGATTATTGATAATAACAGCAATTGAATTTCTTATTAATGTATTGTTTGTTTTTTTTTTAATAAAAATTTTATATTTTTGTATTATAAATAAATTATAAATTATAATATTTAATATTTTATTAAATATTTAATAATTTATTTTTTTTAAAAAAAGTGTAATTTTTTTTTATACATTGTTACACTTAATCTTTGCCCAAGATTATTACTACCCCTTGCCCGATTTTTACTAGCATTTACTCTTGAAATGTTACCCCTTCTAGAATAATTCTTGTATTACTATCCTTGTTATTGTTT